GTTTTGAATGTGGAGAGAAGTGGCTCTTTTTCGGCCCCCTGTATTTTTCTGTCACGCCTACTAGTCTATGATTGGCTGACTCGCGTCTGCACACAGTCACCCTTGTGGTGGCAGCCAATCACGGACAAGTGGGCGTGGCAGCAGCATATGCTGTCGACACTGCTGCGGCTTTAATTTCGGAGGATTCTCCCTCCTGTAAGTTAGATTTGCGACCTAACGCTGAAACATCGAGGCTTTCTATTCGACCCTCCGAATCCCGGTGATACGCATATGGTACATTGTGTTGAAGCATCTTTGTGCTATTGGTAGCCAAAAATCGACACAGTGCAACATGATGCCTCAAGGGCAGCAAATCGCGATAAGTCCAGTGTGCAGCAAAATGGGGAAAGAGGCAAAAGGAATGGGAAAGAGATCTACTCGAAAGAACGATAGGTGGCGTTTTCGCAGCAGAGACGCGTTACCAGCGGATTGGTGAGACGTCGAAGACAAACTCTTCAACACCCCTTAACTCGGGCACGCCCATCACTGCAGACTTGGGAAAGTATGATAACGGCAGTGAGTTTGGAATGATCCCTTCACTACTTATCGTTTGGCTTTCACTCCCTAGAGCGCATTATATTTAACAGCCGTATTTTCTTGCCATTGCTTTGTATTTCCGGGTGTATGCCAACAGAATCGTCCGTAATCCCCGCGCTACTGGTCGTGGCCGCGACGTCGCAACTGCAGTGGACGAGTTTCTGTGAGCGTCATTTGAATGTGAATGTTACAAGGACGCCAAGCAGGCCCGTCCCTTTAATAACCCAATTTCAATCAGCTGCTCCAACCGTCAAATTCAAAATTCCCGCGCTCTTCCAAGAATCGCCGCGTCGCGACGCCGCGCAATTGGCCACACGCGGCGGCTCGACGACCGAACCGTTCTATTCACCGCTCGCGCGTCATCTCCTATCAGGAGAGCGCTTGACGGCTCTATATTACATTAATGTTTGCTCGCAAGAACTTGAAGATCGCCAGGCTGAAGTTACAAGCCCCAGTTTCGGCTTTTTTACTCTTTCGCTTGGTTTCTTCACCTCACACGGGATTTCCTCTAGATGTTTTCCATATAACCGTAACCAAATGACAGCGCCGCTACCTTTCAATTCAGCTCCAATGGATGGTATGGAAAGAGTGATCTGGTAGTGGAAGGCAAGTGTGTTAGTGCATGAGTGAAGAGGGGCAAGGGATGAAATACACAGAAGGAAGCCCCTATTCTGTTTATTGATTTCTGTTTTACACGAGTAAATGATGAGGAAAAAGTTCGCTTGTAAGTGCAGCCGCGAAAAGCTGACGACGTGCCGACAAGTACCATGTCTTGATTATTCACAGGCGGAGTTCACGTTGAAGAAAGGCAACCGATTTCAAATTAAGTTAAGGATGGTCAGTCATACAAGAAAGAAGGAAAAATTATGAGAAACGGCCCAGAACCCGAGAAATGGGACCTCCTCCATTGCCCGTTGATTTCCGCATTGATGCGACTCTCATCGGTAAGCAAACCAGCCCTTTTGGCGCTTCGGCTGGGACCGTATGCTGAATGTTGGGGAGGGGATGGAGTCCCCGACGGTGGACGGACCACTTCAACTCGGTCCTTAGAACCGCCACAATTTGGTGCTTACCTCAGAACTAAGCCTTAAAGAGAGGACGGGTCCGTCCCCTCTCCAAGGCTTAGTCCTGGGGTGAGCAAACCAGCCCTTCTGGCGGAGCTGCTGGACCAGCTGCACCTTGTGCGTCAGTACTCTCCTATCGTACCAACCGAGTTGAAGTAAACCGTCGACCGTTGGGGACCCCATCCCCTCCCCAACATTCAGCATACGGTCCCAGCCGAAACGCCAAAAGGGCTGGTTTGCTTACCTCCTCTCATAGTGCCTCCTTCTTCAACGCTAACGCTCTCTCTGCTTTGTCGGGGGCGCACCGCGCCAGCTACCATGCTGCATCGCAGAGATGAAAATCTCGCATCTCGCTTCTCTGACCTTCTTTCTATCGTGGATTCCTCGAAGATTACAGCGCTAATACAAAGGCTATCGAAATGAAGGGCGAACGATGACGACAACATAATCAACACCCAACATGCCTTCTGTTATCATCCAGCCGCCAATAAAGGGGAGGAGCTCTCCACCAAGGAGACGGTTGCCAGGAGTGGTGGGGCCTTCCTAGCTCGCTCATCCACACGAATGTGGCGCGACTCGTTCCCCTGGGATGTGGTCTTCTTTTACTGTGAGCCCACCTCCTCTTCTTCGGAAGCCACCTGTCTTTGAAGCGCTCAGCGCTAGCAAAAAGGAGGCGTAGCTACATTCCGATTCAATGAATAAAAATTGTTCGAATCTAGAAATACTAGACAATATTCGACAGTAGAAAGGTATAAGTGATTGCTTTTAGCCTAACCTCTCGCCGTGCTGGTCAGTGTATGCTTCAGAATATTTCAGCGCAAATCAAGTATGTCTTTTTCAGCCCCTGGTCGTACATGCACTGGATGAGGCAAAACGAATATTCCCAAATCCCGATCTCATTATTTGGACTGGCGACAACGTTCCCCATGTTGACAACTACAGCTGGGACTGTGAGTGACTTCCAAAATGAATAGCCTATTCATCTGATTTTTCTCTCTTTTCCCATTCCATCCACAATGTACCTCAGAGCCCCGACAACTTACACAAATCGTGTCAAACAGATCTGAGGTTTTTGGGGGTTTTGCCTTTCAGGAACAGCTTTTGTGATTTCGGAAAGAAAAGTAGCTTCACAGAGTGCCCAAAAGACTACATTCGACTCTTCCTGAAAACCCCATTGAACTTCGTTTGTGGAAGGCACACACTATGATTTTCTATAGGGTGTCACATAAATATTGCACCACGTTTCCTAACTTGTAACTTCTCTCAAACTGGATTTATCTTGAAGAAGTTCCACACAACCCTTAGCCCTACATTACATATTGAAAGAAATGATATTTATTTGATATGTGCCACTGTCGCTAATATTTCTCCCAGTTGCTTCGAAGGCAACTCTACTGTGGCCCGCATGGCATCCTGGGGTGTTCTCTTCGAAACTTCGCAGAGAAAAGGCTTCGGCTACTTTGTGTGGATGCAGTGTTTAGTGCAGGCTCTGTCCTCTACATTAGCACACATAGGGTGGTCCAGATCAAGGAGAGTCGTTCTTTTGAAGATGTGAAGTAAAAAACGGAAACAGCGGCTAACCCGCGGTCCTGAACAATTTTCGGCCACCATGCAGAAACTACACCCCTTTGAGAAGAACATCATTCCTACTCGAAGTGGCTAGATACCTTTGTAACAGATGAGCACCCAAACTCCCATTAGCTAGGTCTCAGTATCCAGTTTCAGTCATTTCTAAAAGACAATGGTATGGGCCATACGAAATTCGTAGTTCGTCACCTCAGAGGGGCCGTAAGGTATGCTTCCCCGAAGGGTTAGGGGACGAAAGTTCCTTTAAATTTTCTCTGTAGTCCCAACTGGGATTGTCCTGATAAAGGGCCTACATCTAATATATGTGTGTAGCTTAAAGTAAGCATGCATTGAAAATAAAGAAACAGTATCGTTCAAAACAAAAAATTTAAAGGGACTTTCGTCCCCGCAACCATTCGGGGAAGCATACCTTACGGCCCCAGGCAGACAAGTAAGCCACTGGGCTGCTGCTCGAAGCAGATATTTCTTTGCTTTTCCTTTGCTTCTTTAGGGCCTCATTCGTTCACCCAAAGTTTAAAGATTGTAGGTCCGCTTCTGGGAGGTATTTGTCAGTCATGAAAGGGTGCCTATGCAATCCGCCTTTGCCTCCTGGCACCCTCTCTCACTTTTTATTGCTGTGCATCTCTGGTTGCATGAGCCAGCGTTGGCTTGTGCGGATATAGTCGGTATTGTGAGCCGATGCTGTATGACCACTCTCCACACGACTGTGTTTAAAAACGAGATTTCTGGTCAGCTTTCTCCCAGCCTTGTCTGATATTGCAGTCGTTTCGCTTCCTTACGCTTTTCCTGGGACCGAATCAGCAGATTTACGGAGCGGCCGCAACAAAGACAAATTTATGCTCTTCTCTTCAGAGGTCGCTGAGCGGTCCGAGATTCCAAACAAATATGGTGTTTATTACCGAATGCTCGATCTAGCTGTGTTATAGATAAGGTGCTCTATTGAAGTTCAGACGCTGCATGAGGATAGACTGAATCTTTAAGCCGCTGGATATTGTACGGTTATTCAAAAGGAGGTTATAGGGTTTCGAAGTCTGCCAACCGTGGAAGGAAAACTACGGACACCCACAGAATTCGAGCTCAAAATGTGGTGCAAAATTTATGGGACACCCTGTACTTGTGGGTTACTGCGCGCTTGAAAACAAAGGTAGATGTGAAAAGTGGTTGACGAATAAAGAAGATAGCGAATCAAGCTACGAAACTCGAACGAATATTTCTATTTGATCGTATAGCGGAGCCATAAGCTTTTACGCATTCCCACCCTCTACGTCTCCCTTTTATGTACAGTAGCGGTCAAAAGTGTTCGCCGAAACGGTTTTCGTGCTTCTCTTTTTTTTGCCAGAAAAAATCAATGGTGACCTCGAAAATTTTTCTTTGAATATCCTGATTCTTTAAGACTTGAGGATATAAAAACACTAGAAAACATAGTATATCAATCTTTGGAGGGCGTTGCTCAAGCGAGAAAAATAATGCACTGAAAATCGTTTCGGCGAACACTTTTGACCGCTACTGTATATATAGAATGAGAAGTCTATCAATGAGATGCAATGGTAATAACCTACATCTGGGCAATCGCGGTGTGTGCCTTCAATTCCCCCACCAGTGATGCCAATTTTTAATCATTATCTTCGTTCGACTGAAAAATGGGTGACCGCAAAGATTCCAAGGAGGGGAACTAAGGACTACGGCATTTAAAGGTCATGATACCAGAGCCAACCCTTTCATCTCCGTGAATATGGCCAATTGAAACGAAGCAGATACTATCAACTCTAAACTTCTAAACATAAACCTCAAATGTCGCGAAGGTGGACCTCGCATGTCATTCATGTCGAAGGCATCTAGTATTCTGAAAGGAATTGATGCATGGCGCGAAACAACTGTTCAGTCAAGGCCGAATAATTTATCTGTTATATTATTTTATTATTATTTTATATTTAAATTAATAATTAATATTTCTATATTTAAATTAATTAATGGCAGCCGTAGTAGTAAAGTTCAACGCTAGAACAAGCACTGCCGGTATTCGACATCTCCAATGATGAACCATGCATTTGGTTTCAATCATGGAGCGTTCA